ATTCTACTCAAGTCTACTGTTGTTATTATATCTGCCAAATTTAAATACTTTATCAGATTTATCAAAATTTTTTTTATTTAGGGTACTTGTATTTGGTAGAAAAACCTTTGAGATTTTTTATAAGTAACCTGGCGATGAAGCTCCTTAATGGTGTTCTCCTTTCTTTATTTCGGTAACTCAAAGCATCATACAATTATTTTCCGATTTCAGATTGTAGTTCTTTTATTTTTGTCAACATAAACTTTTATGGATTGTCAGAGGAAATTAAGGTTGCGTCTTGTCGACAAAGTGCTACCACAGTTGCTTTAATGGCAGTAAAAGTACTGCTAAATCAGATACGATTCTACATTCGTTCATCTTAATTGAATCGTTGACGTTGAAATACAATTCTAAATCTAGAAGTGCCTTTTTAACACAATAGTTTTTTTAATTTTAACTTCACTAATCAGTCTAGCATAAGCAACAAGCTGCTCATTCGGGTTTGGCAATCCATGATTAAATGGATGATCTTTCCGAACTCAATTTTTACGTACTTTTGTAAATAACTTTCATTGTTGTTTAGGAACCATTTAAACATTTTAACAATTTTCCTGACTTTTGTTATAACGGGTCCAATAATTTGGTGCCTAATTTTAACTTCAGATGTTTCATTAATTATCAATGAATCATGATAAATCCTTAATATATTTTTCCTCTTCAAACAATTCTACTTAAAATAACGATAACTAAAGTTTCTTTAATAAAACTTATGTATTTGGATAACTTCATTAATTAAACGGACGTTAAGTAAACTTTTGTAATTTAATAAACCATCTGTATTTTGATAACTTTATCAATTAAACCGATGATAAAAAAACTTTTGTAAATCTTGCACACATTTGTAATTAACAAATGCGTGGTTTACAAATGTTAAAAGTGGACATAAAAATGGGATTAAAATCACGCAAACATAGGAATTAGAATGAATTAGAAAATTCAAAATAAAAAGGTATTCCTTTTATCAAAAATTTTTAATCTTCACATAAAGCAAGTACTAAAATTTTATCTATTTTTAATTAATAAAATATTTTTAATAATATATTAGTTTTAATATTATACTATATATACATTTTTTATATGTTTAATTGCACATATTTTGCAGATAAACAATAATATTTTTAGTTTTCATTTTCGATAAAATACAGAAAGACGAAGAATAAAATATTGCTAAGAGTTTAAACAGCTACAAAACCAAACAGCTACAAAACCAAATAGCTATTCCAAAGCCTTTGTTTACATTTTATGATCTAAAAAATTCTTAAGCTTTTTGTACTTTTACTTTTTTTACGGTAAACCAAAATTTCGGAGACTAATCCCAGGATTTCGGGACGAACATTTTGTACGGGATCCCGGGATTGCCATCCCTAGAAACTATATTTGGCAAGATTTGGTCCAACAGACACAAAACATTTATTGAATTCTTCCACAATCTTTTCTTTATCAAATAAAACATCATTATTAGGTACAACTGAGGCAAAGAGTATATCGTAAATTTTGCTGCCTGTAACTTCTCGTATTATAAATCAAGTGTGTTTTCGTATTTAATTTATATTTATCTTGTAAACTTGTGTAATAGATTTTAATTGCTTTTTCTTGAGGCGGTTAAAAAGTTTAGCGAGTTGATTAAAGTAGATATCAGATTAAATAGATATTTTACCTCCACCCCTAAATTAAATAAAAATGAAAAAAATTTTTTTTCCCCTTTTCTTTCAAGTACATAAAATTATAATGATAATATTGTTGACGTCAACTTTTCTTGTTGGTTGCAAAGCTGAAATTCAAGTGGATGAAGCTGGGAAGGTAACCTGTAGTTGGTTGAGTTGGTTGCAGATTACTGCGGTCGATTTTGCTTTCTATTGAAAGCCTGTCTCTACGGGTCCTGAAGCTTGAATTTTGGTAGCTATAGTTTTGTGGGAGGAAAGTGGAACTGTGTACCATCTTTTGTCTCTCGTATCTACTATAGTAAATCCGGTCATGCAGCCTCTACGCGGCGCAACTAGAAACTTGGATCAGTGATCAAGGCTAATGCATGCCGGGTCTCCTCAGATTAGGAGTATAATACAAATCTGACTTTATCACTAAGAGGCTATGGGGCTAACGATCCTATAGTCTCGATGAACCTATTGATTGTTACTAGTAGCATAAAAGAAAGTGACGTACCCTCTAGTGGAAAGGGGGGTGTAGCAGTCAATGACATAACAGCAGGAGCTAGTGGAAAAGATACGTGCGTGATCATACACCCAGGTACCGATGGTATTTGGTGCTGTACTGAGTGTGTTGAGATACATAACAGCGGTAAGGATCTGAAACGACATCTTGCATTCTCCCCTCCCCTTTGTCAATAACTGTCATATAATTTCAGACCCCATTCACCCTTTATTATTGACATTTAATGGAGAGCCTAAAAAGTAATTATGCAATTAAGAATTGTATTTAAAATTAAATAAAAAAACATAAATTATATCAAAAAATGCAAATCAAAGAACGTTGCTTTAATTTAAGCCTGAATGCCAGCTTGGTATTCACTTAAGTTGACTAACAAATTGGAGCAAACATAGTTAAATGTAGACAACTTCATTATAGTGCTCCATAGAGTACTCATAACACTGGTACTATATTTGTTACGATATATTGCTTGTATTTTTACACATATAATGCGTATGTGTTATATGTATGACAAAGTACTACTACCCGACGGGCATTTGTTTTTAAAAGTTACAATCTAAATGTGTTTTAAACGTCTTTTAAACGTCTTTTAAACATTAATGTTTAAAAGACGTTTAAAAGACATTTAAAATACATTTAGATCGTAACTTTTAAAAACAAATGCCCGTCGGGTAGTATTAGATTGTTTTTAACCAGGTTAAGTAAAAGTCTAATAGTTGTTCATCCATAGATTTATACTAACCAGGTTAGCTAGCTAAAGTATCGGTAGTAAAAAGGTTTGAAAAGTCAATAAAAGTTGAATAAACTTTATAACTAACACTTATTATCTGAAACTTAATAAAAAAAATGTATTTTATTATTTATTGCGTTTGCAGGATTTGCATCTATTGCATTATATATATATTGTATCTTATTCTTATGTAATTTAAGGTTTTAGTCAGAAGAAATTTTTTTTAAATTTTATGTAAGTAACCAATTTTTAAAAAAACATTGTGCATTAAAAAGTTTTGAAAAAGTCGATATTTGAGAAGTTTTTCTCTTTTCAGATTTCTAAAAACTTGCTATTTGCTATGAAAACAATCCTTAGAAAAACTTTCAAACTTTTAAATTTTAATTTTAAATTTAAAAGGATCATCAAAAGAACTATAAATAAGTCTATTTTTTTTTAGACAGTAAAACGTTTTTTATAATTTTTAGAATATAATTCAAATAAATTGTTATTTCGAATAACACATTCCGTCTCAATAAAAACAGGAAATGAAATCGGATATATAAAGCTACCTTTTCCCGAGATTGATAATTTTCACGAAAGAGGGGGAGGGGGGTACATTGTTTCTCAACTAGATTATCTCGATAAGTAAACATTTTCAAAAAATGAAACTATGATTAATGGAATCATTACATTAAAATATATATTATTTATAAATATATTTTAAACATAAATACATTTATGCATTAAAATTTATTTATTTTTATAATATGTTTTAATGTCATGTATGTATGTATGTATGTATGTATGTATGTATGTATGTATGTATGTATGTATGTATGTATGTATGTATGTATGTATGTATGTATGTATGTATGTATGTATGTATGTATGTATGTATGTATGTATGTATGTATGTATGTATGTATGTATGTATGTATGTATGTATGTATGTATGTATGTATGTATGTATGTATGTATGTATGTATGTATGTATGTATGTATGTATGTATGTATGTATGTATGTATGTATGTATGTATGTATGTATGTATGTATGTATGTATGTATGTATGTATGTATGTATGTATGTATGTATGTATGTATGTATGTATGTATGTATGTATGTATGTATGTATGTATGTATGTATGTATGTATGTATGTATGTATGTATGTATGTATGTATGTATGTATGTATGTATGTATGTATGTATGTATGTATGTATGTATGTATGTATGTATGTATGTATGTATGTATGTATGTATGTATGTATGTATGTATGTATGTATGTATGTATGTATGTATGTATGTATGTATGTATGTATGTATGTATGTATGTATGTATGTATGTATGTATGTATGTATGTATGTATGTATGTATGTATGTATGTATGTATGTATGTATGTATGTATGTATGTATGTATGTATGTATGTATGTATGTATGTATGTATGTATGTATGTATGTATGTATGTATGTATGTATGTATGTATGTATGTATGTATGTATGTATGTATGTATGTATGTATGTATGTATGTATGTATGTATGTATGTATGTATGTATGTATGTATGTATGTATGTATGTATGTATGTATGTATGTATGTATGTATGTATGTATGTATGTATGTATGTATGTATGTATGTATGTATGTATGTATGTATGTATGTATGTATGTATGTATGTATGTATGTATGTATGTATGTATGTATGTATGTATGTATGTATGTATGTATGTATGTATGTATGTATGTATGTATGTATGTATGTATGTATGTATGTATGTATGTATGTATGTATGTATGTATGTATGTATGTATGTATGTATGTATGTATGTATGTATGTATGTATGTATGTATGTATGTATGTATGAATGTATGTATGTATGTATGTATGAATGTATGTATGTATGTATGTATGTATGTATGTATGTATGTATGTATACCTCTAAATTTAATAGTGGTTGCTTGCAGCCTTGTTAGAAGTGAAGATGTTAAAAAAATAAAACATGTATGTATATATGCATGCATTTATGTATGTGCAAGTATGTATGCATACATTTGTATATGTACATGTATATATGCTATTTGTTTACCATTTTATAATAGATTAATATAAATTCTAATGATAATATGGAATCTATATTTCATGAGAAACAAGAAGGTTCTCTTTGTGCACAACACTGTTTAAACTCTTTATTACAAGGGCCATATTTCAATGCTGTAGATTTAGCATCATTTGCACATGAACTGGATGAAGCAGAAAGAAGTACAATGGCAGAAGGAAATATTGATTCTTTGGAATATAAAGAGTTTATCAAACAACCTTCTTTTAACATGGATGACAGTGGTTACTTTTCAATACAAGTAATTTGTAAAGCTCTCTCTGTTTGGAACCTTGATGTTATTCCTTTTAATAGTAATGAAGCTGAAAATGCTAGAAAAAATCCAGTTGATGAAATGGCTTACATATGCAATCAGCAAAATCATTGGCTTACTATTCGAAAATTGGGCAAGCAGTGGTTTAATTTAAATTCCATTAAAGCATGGCCTGAGCTTATATCAGATACTTATCTTAGTATGTTACTGGCACAATTACAGACAGAGGGGTATTCAATATTTGTTATTCGAGGAGTGTTTCCAGAATGTGAAGCTGAACAGCTTTTCTTTTTGTGTGGAGGAGTTACTAAACAAGAATATGAACTATTTGATGCAAAGCAGCGATCTTTGATTAAAACACATTCAAAAAAAAACAATAAGACTTCAGAAGCAGAAAAGTGTTGCAGTAGTTTTGAAGAAGAAGTTAATCCTGATTTACTTCGCAATAAACGTGTTGAATATTTTGAAAAACAGTTGCATCTAACAGATGTATCTGATAAAAATTTTACTGGTAATAGTCCAGGTTTGGAAAACGAGTTAACAGATGAGGAAAAATTAAAGGCTGCAATAGAAATGTCATTACAGCCAATCGAATAAGATTATAATGCTGCACACTGTTGTATAATAATTCTATGTTTTGTTTTATACTTTTTTATTTTTCATTTCATTACAGTAGCAATATAATCTATGTAAATAGTTTTTTGCTTTACAAGCATGGTTTACACAAATGATTTATAAACTTTATAGTTTAATTAACTTTGTTTTATGAAATTGCTATGGATTAAAACTAAAAGATTTTTTTTTAGTATTAAAAATGAAAGATATTAATTTATGTAATATATCTTTTAAAAAAGATATAATAATTTAAGGTATTATAAATTTTTTATATATATTATTGCAACATTCTTAGTAGTTTGTGTCAATTTGTTTTGTTTGTATGTATTTTAAACGGTGTCTTTAAAAAATCATTATAACTACACTAACAATGCATTTTGTGTCTTACATACTTAAGAATTTTAGTAAATATATTTTTATGGAATAAAAAGCTCAGGTTTTAGAATCTAAATTCCTATAAAAGGATGCAGAAATGAGATTTGAGTTATTCAAATAACTTGTTAAAAGGAAAAACTTATTATACAAATGTCTATATTTAGGATTAGTTTCTGGTGTTTTTTTTTTTTTTTTAGTTATTCCAAAAAACTTGATGATAGTGGTGTTCAGGGATGCACAGTCCTAAAAGGACTATGGATTTAAAAGTTATAAAATGATTATTTCTTCCTGGTTTTTGGTATCCAGGAGCTCCAAAAATGTATAGAGGCTTAATGATTACTTTTGGGAAAAATTGAGACTTTTAGGTTAGAGAAACAATCAAATTTTGAACCCAGAGTCCTTAGGTATATAATGGTGGCAAGAACTCTGAGATTTTAAACTAAAAAATGATAGGTTCAAAGTCATAAAATCTCATGAATTTTTTTAATTGTAGATCATAAGTTACTTGACACTTTTAGCGCTCCTAGATAAAGAGACCAAGAAAAAGTAGAGATTTATAGCCACAGTCTTTTTGGGACTTTGCATCCCTGGTGATGTTACAAACTTAAAAAAGACTTGCATGAAAGTAGTATAAGCATCAATTGCATCTTTCTTTTGGTTTATTTACAGATTTTAGTAAATTATCAAGAGATCAAAACAATTTCAGCATGATTTCTAAAAGTTGATGTAATTTTTAACAATAAAAAAATTTATATTACAAAAATTTTGAAAAATGTTTCTGTTTTATAGATTGCTTTTTATATTACATTTTATTCATCTTCATTAATTTATTTTTATATTAAATTTATTTAATTAATTTTAATTAATTTTATTGCTTATTCAATGCCTGATAAGTCTTGTTTAGATGACCCCATCAAATAAGGGTTAGGAAAATGTTAAAAACTTTTTGTGAAACAGTTTTAAATATAGTTTTTTTTTAATTGTAGGAGAAGTTATGTGATTAGATTAAATTTTTTATTCAATTTTTTCTTCCTTTTGTATCAAGGAGGAAAAGGTAGATTTTTTTAACATAAAAGACAAGTAATTTTGACTTTTTTTTAAGTTTGTGCTTGAGTTTAAAGTATTCTTATTTTTTTAAGAAAATAAAAGTGGACTTGGAGAAAATGTGACTTATACTATGAAAGAAAACTTAAACTAGTAATTTTAAAGAATGATTTATGGTTCCTGTGGTTTTCTTTTATATAAATAACATGTTTAAATATTTACTTAGATTGAAAAACGTGTATAGGATATTAAATATAAATAAAAAAAATGTTTTCTGTATTGTGATTTTTTTTTTAAACCAGTTCAGCTTTTTTTCCTATATACTTGTTGTTATATAAAGAAAGTTGTTTATAGATTTATGGTTTTGTAAGTTTTTAAAATCATTACGAATAATCTGACTTTTTTTAAATATAGAATTTATTTTAGGAAGGTCGGAAAGTTTTTTAAGAAAGTATGTGTTTTCATCAAAACATATTTATGACTGATAAAAGCTTTATGAATACATATTAAGAATACTATTTACTTGGTTGTATTTTATTCTTTTATTTTTAGTATTAGTTATATTTTTATATACAATAAACCATGACTGATTCTCCTCCTGATAAAAATGGCAGGTTATTACTAAATAAACCAAGATGGTCACAAGATACGTTTAGTGGAAGAGCCAAGCATTTTTTTACCATTACAAATCCTTTAAATTTGTTGGCAACAAATGAGCAACTTACATCTGCTAAAATACTAGTTGATAAATACAAGTAAACAATTTATTTTTGTGTTTAAAAATTAGGGTTAGGAATCTCAATTGAGATATCAAAATCCTGGGATTTTGCCATTCTCTACAATCTCAAAATCCCAGGATTAAGCATTTAATCCAGGGATTTTTTTTAAAATCGTTTTCGGTTGAATATTTTTAATTAAAATTTCTTCGTTGAGGTTTAACTATTTTATACAAATTCAAAATTCCTGCAGCTATGTTTATGAATAATTGGATTGGATTTATTATAATAGTTGAAATTGCATTGCAACTGCATTTTAAAAATTTGTTGGTTCTCAGTCACATTTATTCAAGTTCTCTACAATTTTTATGTCGATTAGACGTTATTTGTTTGTGGCTATTTTATAGTACTTATTTTACAGTTTTAATTAAATTAAAATTGCTGGTTATTTGAACAGTAATTTCTTAAACTATAATGGCAAAAAAAATAATTCTACAATTCAAAACATTTTTTACAAGAAGAAAAAGGTCAGACAGCAATGTGTAAATATACTGACTACAAATAGATTTTAAAAATTGAAGGTTGCTCAACAAAAAGTCTCCATATGCACTTACTTACTGTTCATAAAATTAACCTCATACCAGCTACTTTTTCAGCTAACACCAAATGAATCACCAAAAAAAAATCACTTCCTGCAACACTTGCACAATTAATAGCATTTAATGAGTATTCGTTCAATGTTAAATGCCGTTCTAGTGATACACGTGCATGACTAATAGCAACATGGTTCAAAAGTTTACCCGCAGCAGTCAACACAGTGCATAAATTGGTTGTAGATTAGAGCAAAAAAATTAGAAATTTTTTAATTACTGAAATAGCCTGCAAATTTTCTTTATCTTTTGATGAATGGGCATCACTACATAACCCTTGTATATGGATATTAATTTGCATGCACAAAATTGTCAGTTCTGAATCTTAGGCTTAATTCGTATAAAAGGATCAGTGTCTGCAGATAAGTCTATAGAGCTATTAGAATAAAAGCTGGCAGAACATGAACTTGATTTGCGAAAAGATATTGTTGGTATTATGGCTAATGGACCAAGTGTGATGAGAAAAGTTGGGAGAATATTACCTGTTAATCAACAGTTATGTATTGCCTCTGGTGTGCAACTGGCCGTTATTGAAGTACTATATCAAAAGCAGGATATAGAAAGAGAAATAGATCAGCAATTTGATGAAGACAAACATTGATTTAGAAGACAATTTTTTAGAGCGTAACTCTAGCATGGATGATGATTTTTCTTACAAAAATGAATTAGTTGATCTTGATGCTAGTTGTAATAGACGTCGAGGAAACCAATGTGATGTTACTGAGGTAAGTTGTGGTCCAGTGATCAAAAAGGTATGAAAATTTATAGTAATGTTCAAACAATCACCAAAAAAAAAAGAGAAATCTTACAGAAGTATGTTTTGGCTGAATTCACGAACAAATAACTCTGATAAAAGACTGTAAGACTAGGTGGAACAGTCTTTTGTTAATGTTTCAACGCGTCTATTTATTAAAAAATTGTATACAAAAAGCATTAGTCTACCGGAAGGTTAATCTTTCGCTTTATCTGATAATGAGAATTTGGATCTGCTATTGTTAATGTGCTAGTCCCAGTAAAAGCAACAGTCAAAGCTGTTTGCTGTCAGAATGCTATTTTGTTTACAGCCAATGTTGCCATAACTTTTATGTTAAAAAAACTTATAGATGTTAACAATGTTATAAGTCAAAAGTTACATTCATCTCTTGTTCTGCAAATGCAACCAAGGCATACGGATGTAAGTGGGGTACTTTAGTATCTGCACAATGATCAAACCAACATTCAGTTCGAACCTGAAATAGAGCTAGTAACAGTTCCGTCTTCTATAAAATTTTGCAAATTAATATTTGAGTTACTCAAAATACTAGATGCTTCAAATCCAGCTACATCATTAACAGCTTATGAGTCTGAATCAGAATTTAAACTTTCTGCTTCAAATGAGGCCCTGATTAAAATTTATCTGATACTTCTGACTCCCCATCTGATCTCCATTTTTTTTTTGCTTTTGAAAAGAGCAAAAGAATAACAGATGAACTTAATAAAGCTATAAAAAAAAGCATATTTGCCCAGCATACCAATTCGATTTAAGATGCTGTCAGTGACAATTGAAATGGAAATGCTCTTGTTTGAATATGGAAAAACATATGGATTTTTTGCCCAGCATACCAATTCGATTTAAGACGCTGTCAGTGACAATTGAAATGGAAATGCCCTTGTTTGAATATGGATAGATTGGTATGGAAATTGCAGCAGCACAATGTGAGGAAAACTATGGAAAAGAGTGAAACTTGACCCGGAATTGTCGAGAGGGAATAAAAGATTCTATGCCAGCCTGAATCTACGAAGTTATGTAAAAAGCACATTTGTCAGCAGGAAGATGAAAGATTTCTACCCAAAAGCCATCAGGAATAAAATCATGGAAATCTTATCAGCTTTAAGGTAGTTGTAAGAGGTAGGGGATTCTGATAATGCAGAAGAATGAATAAAAAATAGTTTTAGAGAGATCAAACCAATGATTGTAAATGATTCAGATAGTCTGGAAAGCGAGTTGGAAGTTGACTATTTGAGTTAGAGATTGATAAAGACAAAGTTGTGGGTTTTAACACCTGCAGAGTCACTGACATTAGAACCAAGCCATTCAGTGTGATAAGCAATTAAGTCATCAACAACAAAGGTATTGGTTGAAAGATAAAGAGAATAAAATAAAAGTTTTAGTGAGATCATAGCATGATCTGAACTACCTAATAAAGAAACTGATCACAAGCTAAGGTTAGAGACTAGACATAAATCAAGCATTAAAGGTAAGCGGTTAGGGTTGTCTGGAAAATGAGTCACAATGTTATCTAGGTGAGAGATAGAGAAAGAATTTGAGCTTAAGTATCAGTGGTACTTGAGCAAAGCCATTTAGTGCTATGAGCATTAAAGTTACCAATAACAGAAGTATTGGCTGTGAAATAAAGTTAATTTGATCAGAAACAATATTGAAACATGTGTTTTTGGAAGAAGGAAAAAGATAACAGCCATTAACTCTCAAATCCAAAGATAAAGCTGAATTTAAATTTGTCTCATAAAAAAGAAACTGTCTTGTGAAAATTTACTTCAAAGACAAATATTTGTAAAGAATATATTGAAACAATTTGATAGTGATGATGGTTTTACATTTTTTTATATATACTTTATATATTTATGTATTATATATATTCTATTATATATTTATATGGTTTACAAATAATTTCAGATACTTCATGTTTTTAATAATTAGAGAACTTGAATGAATCATAGATAGTGCATAACACCCTAAGCAATAAACAATTTATTACCTCATTTCTTCTCATAAACCCTAAGTTATAATAAAGTGCACCTTTAATGTGCCTTGACAACGCATACCAAATGTATAGAACATGCATACCAAATGTAATGTATATAATTCATACCAAATGTAAGAAACATCTTCCATTCGCAACATGGCAATGTTAATACTCTGATATTTTACAGCTGTTGATGGAATCAGTCTCTCTGAGGACTACCACAGAGTTTGGGAGACCTTAGTTTCAGAACAGTTAAACTGAGTTTTAGGCCTATATTAGGAGATAGCAGGAATAGTTTTATAGCCACTTGTAAGGAGGATCAAGAAAAAAACTCATAAGTAGATTTAATGGTTATCATTCATCGGCTAGTAACAATGTAACTTACTTTAACACAAGAAGATTATATGTAGAAAAGATCTAAGGCTATCAACCAAGATTTTATACTTTTTTTTTATTTTTTATTTTTTTTATTTGGATTTACTCCCAACAAGGCTGCAAGCAACCACTATTAAGTTGGGAGTTACTAGGAGAAAAAAAAGAACAGAGTTATAGAGCAAGGAAACGGTTGACAGAAGACTTGAAAAGTTGAAGGTTGTATGAGTCAGGAAAACATGAAGATGGGAGAGAGTTCCAAAGGATTGAAGTGCGGGGAAAAAAACTAGATGAATAAAAGTTTTTAGAGCATGCAGGGACAGATACAGTAAACGAATGAGACTTAGCTGAATGACGAGTAAAACGAGAATGAATTTTAGTTGATGGAACTAGAGATGATAACTCCTTTGAGCAGTGACCATGATAGTATCTGTAGAAAAGAGAAAGAGATGCAACTTTACGACGATGGGAAAGAGGTTCAAGCTTAGCAGATAGTCCAGGTCCAACAACATTTACAATGCGTTTTTAGACCTTGTTAAGAAGAGAAAGTGAATCGTTAGAAGAACCAGCCCAAATATGACAACAGTATTCCATACAGGGACGAATAAGAGATTTGTAGAGGTAGAGAATGGAATCAGAAGTAAAGAAATGGCGAGCACGATAAAGAGAAGCAACCTTAGCAGAAGCTAATTTAGCAATCAATTGTATATATGGTTTCCATGAAAGGTCAGTAGTAAGCGATAATCCAAGAAGACGTAAAGAGGAGGACTCAGTAAGAGGATTGCCATTCATTAATATAGGAATGTTGACCATATTACGGTAGTTGTTTGCAGTAAGCAACTGGGTTTTTTTAGAGTTGAAATTCACAAGCAACTGGGAACCCCAATCTATTACTGAAGTGAGATCGGATTCAAGATCAGCTGCTTGTTCTAGGCGATCGAAAAGAGAAGACTTTTTGTCAAGACAGGAGTATAAAGTTGAGTCATCAGCAAAAAGAGCTACTTTAGATGAAAGGTTGTCAGGAAGATTGTTTATGTAGATAAGAAACAAAACAGGGCCCAGGATGGAACCTTGGGGAACCCCAGAAGTTACTGGAAATAAAGAAGAGTGTTCGCCTTCAAGAATGACTTCAATAAACCGGTTAGAAAGAAATGATTTGATAATCTCAAAAACTTTCCCAGAAACACCATATGAAGCAAGCTTTTGAAGAAGACCAGCATGCCAAACTTTGTCGAAAGCTTTAGATATGTCGAGAGCAATAGCCCTAGCCTCACCGCCTCCACCTAATGCACGATAAAATCTTTCAGTTACAGCAGTTAGCAAGTCGGCCGTAGAGCGAGAGGATCGAAAACCGTATTGATTGTCTGACAGCAGTTTATTTGACTCAAGATGAGATGTGAGGAATTTGTTGATCAAAGACTCAAAGGCCTTGCTAATAACAGAAAGAAGACTGATCGGACGATAATTGGAGGGGTCAAAATCTCCAGAGTTTTTGAATATTGGAACCACAGATGCCATTTTCCAACAAGCAGGAAAACAAGACTCAGTCAAACACTTGTTAAATAGTTTAGAGAGAATTGAAGAAAGTTCTGGAGAACAATTCTGCAAGACTGTGACAGGAATGTTGTCTGGACCACAAGCTGTAGACGAGTTTAATTGAGATATGACTTTAGCAACAAAAGCCGGAGTGATTTGAATGTCTAACAATGGGTCAACCTGTTTGACTGGAATGGAAGGAAGAGAATGTCCATAAGATTCAAGAGTGGAATTAGAAGAAAAGTTTTTTGCAAATAGTTCTGCCTTATCCTTGGGAGAGGTAATAAGATCAGTCCCATGAATGAGAGATGGAATGTTAGACCTACCCTTGTTAATAATGCTGTTGAAGATTTTCCAAAAGTCTTTAGAGCCTAACTTCTGTGATAAGAGATTTAGTGAACTGAGAATAATGGAGTTTAGCATCAGAAAGCACCTTTTTACATCGTTTTCTTGCAATAATAAATAGCCGTTTGTTCTCAAGAGAGTTGTTCTTTTGAAAAAGATGAAAAAAATGATTACGATTGGATATAGCAGCCGCACAAGAAGGAGAAAACCATGGAGTAGAATGAGGCTTGACTTGAAACCGACGAGAAGGAATAAAAGCTTCCATTCCAGCCTGAATCCAGGAGGTTATGTAGGAAGCGCATTTGTCAGCTGAGAGAGAAAAAACATCAGCCCAAGGACCATCACGAAGAAAATCACGAAAGGAATCCCAGTCAGCTTTAGGGTAGTAGTAGGTGGTGCGATGATAAAGTGAGCCCAAAAAAGAAGTACGAGAAGAAAGATTTATAGAGATCATTGCATGGTCAGAACCACCTAAGGGAGAAAAGGGAGAAACTGAACATAAGCTAGGGTCAGAGACAAGACATAAGTCAAGGAGTGAAGGTAAATTAGGGTTGTCAGGAAAACGAGTCACAAAGTTAACTATCTGAGTAAGAGATTGAGAAACGCAGAAGTTAAAGGCTTTAGTGCCAGCAGGATCAGTGGTGTTAGAGCCAAGCCATTCAGTGTGATAAGCATTAAAATCACCAACAACAACAATATTGGCAGAGGGGTAAAGAGAGAGGGCATGGTCAATTTGATCAGAGATAACATCTAAAAGAGTGCAATCATGGGAAGAAGGAGAACGATAAAGAACAAAGAGAAAGGTGATAGAGTGAAGAGGTGCTAGGCGAAAGCACATAAAAGAATGGTCAAAGGATTCGAACCTGATTTCACGACAAATAGGGGAATTAATGGGTATGTATACCCCTAAACCTAGCATGTGACTATTAGAGTCTTTACGAATCAAAGGATAGTACCCATCAACACTGACATCTGAAGAAGGAATTGCAGAACTTAAATTTGTTTCACTGAGTGCAAGCAAGCCTGGTGAATTTTGCAGGAGGTAAGACTCAACTGATGGAATGTTGCTTCGTAGACCGCGAATATTTGTAAAAGATATATTAAAATATTTAGGTGGTGGGGATGGTTTTTTAGGTTTTAAATTTTTGGTTACTTTGGTCATGGTTTGGGTTTAATGAGAACTAGACTCATTCATAGATAGAGCACAGCCTCCTAATCAATGAGCTATGCAGTTGTCTCAGTCCTGTTAATTAACCCTTAGCCGTGACATAGGGCTCCTTATGTGGCCTTGACAATGCACACCAAAAGCATTAACAGGGACACTATCCATGCGCAACATGGCACTGTTAATACTCTGATATTACTTGCCCCTAAAGTCTTTACTGAGGAAACCTTCTACAGGACAGTAGCCCATTAATTAGCCCACAGTTAATATATTCCTAAGATAAGTACTTTTTATTACTCAACCAAGAACCTCAAGGCGTATTTTAAGTGAGAGTTATGTTCTTCTAGTCTTTACCTAAAAAAGCAAATTCTACAAGGCAGTAGAGCATCAGACAGGTTGAACTGGATAACATGTTACTAGTAGCAGGGTAATTATGATGATCCTAGTTTTCAAATGACCTTAAAATATTAATAATAATTTAATAGTAATAAAAATAGTAATAATAAAAATAATAATAATATATTCCAATAAGTAACATATTTTTTAGAAAGTTAATTTCAAAATATAAAAATGAAAATACTTTTATATTATTGTATTCTTTGTTTTCTCTGCTATAATTTTTGTAGACTTGGTATAGAACCTCCAGGAACTACTGCTGAACAAGTATGGAGTGCAAAATATCTTTATGACTCTGCATATCATCCTGATACAGGGGAAAAACAGCTTTTAATTGGCAGAATGTCAGCACAAGTTCCAATGAACATGACGATAACTGGTGCAATGATGACATTTTATAGGTACTACTCTCATATTCAATAAACAAACTTCAAACTCTTATAAAAGATTTTTGTACGTGTGTATTTTGGTAATATTAGGTTTTTAATTGAAAAAAAAAATAGTATTAATTTTTTTAATTAGTTTCTACATATTTTAAACAAAACTAAATTTTTGTAAATAGTGCGTTAGTTCATCCCTAATAACATATAATAACATCCCTTAGAACACTGTCTTAAAAACTAGTATACAAATCTTCCTCTAGAATCTTTTAACAAAAGTACTATTAAAGTAAGTTATACTGAAAATTGTAATTTTTTTTTATTTTGATTCTTTTACAACAAGGCTGCAAGCAACCACTATTAAGCTGGGAATTACTAGATAATAAAGGATAGAGTGTAGAGCAAGAAAATGGTTGATGGAAGACTTGAAAAGTTGAAGGTTGTATGAGTCAGGAAAATATGAAGATGAGAAAGAGTTCTAAGGGGTTGAAATGCGGAAAAGAACTAGATGAATAAAAATGGGATGGAAAAAAAATAGATAAATAAAAGTTTTTAGAGCATGCAGTGACAGATACAGTGAAAAAATGAGACTTTGCTGAATGACAAGTCAAGCAACAATGAGTTTTAGTTGATGGAACTAGAGATGATAGCTCCTTTGAGATGCGGCTATGAAAGTATTTGTAGAAAGATTTCAAGATTGGCTGTTCTAAGCAATTCAAAAGAGCAGACTTTTGTCAAGACAAAACTAGAGATGGAACTAGAGATGATAGCTCCTTTGAGATGCGGCTATGAAAGTATTTGTAGAAAGATTTCAAGATTGGCTGTTCTAAGCAATTCAAAAGAGCAGACTTTTTGTCAAGACAGGAGTATAAAAGTTGAGTCATCAGCAAAAAGAGTTACTTTAGATATAAGGTTGTAGAAAAGATCATTAATGTAGATAAGAAGTAAAACAGGACCTAGGATAGAACCTTGAGGTACACCAGAAATTACTGGAAATGAAGAAGAGTATTGGCCTTTGAGGTTGACTGAATCTAAAGCTGTTAGAAAGAAATTATTTAATAATCTCAAAAACTTTCCCAGATACACTATCTGAACCGAGCTTATGGAAAAGACCAGCATGCCAAACTTTGTTGAAAGTCTTAGGTATGTCAAGAGCAATAGCCCTAGTTTCTCTGTCTCCATCTGATGCACAATAAAATCTTTCTTGTGTCAATCTTGCTCTACGGCACGTCAGCCATAGAGCAAGATTGACACTTATTTGAATAGTTTAGAGAGAATTAAAGAGAGTTCTGGAAAACAATTTTATAAGACTGATAGGAATGTTGATCCGGACCATAAGCCTAGAAGAGTTTAATTGAAATATGACTTAAGCAATGGAAGCTGAAGTGGTTTGAATGTCTAATATTGAATTAACCGGTTTAATTGGAATGGATAAAAGAAAATGGCCATAAGATTTAAGAGTCAAATTAGGAGATAAGTTCTTTGCAAATAGTTCAGCTTTATCCTTGGGAAAGATAGTAAGATCAGTCCCATGAATGAGAGATGGAATGTTAGATCTACCCTTGTTCATGATGCTGTTAAAGACTTTCCAAAAGTCTCTAGATCCTAACTTCTGAGATAAGATGTGAAACAAAGTGAACTGAGAATAATGGAGCATCAGACAACACCTTTTCAATTCGATTTCTTGCAATAAAAATAGCAGTTTCTCCTCAAGAGAGTTGTTCTTTTGAAAAAGATAAAAAAAGTGATTACGAATAAACATAGCAGCTGCACAAGAAGGTGAAAACCATGGACTAGAATGAAACTTGACTTGGAACCGATGAGAAGGAATAAAAGCTTCCAGTCCTGCCTGAATCCAGGAGGTACGTCAGAGGCACATTTATATTTAGATTATATTTTCACTGAAGGTAAATGATTTTGTCAGAAAAACAAGTCACAAAGTTTACTATCTGAGTAAGAGATTGAGAAATGAAGCAGTTATAGGCTTTAAAGCCAGCAGGATCAGAGGCATTAGAACCAAGCCATTTAGTGTGATGAGCATTAAAATCACCTATAACAACAATATCGGCTAATGGGTAAAGAGAGAAAATATGAAAAACATGTCAAGTTTTGTTATGAAAGTGTTTATGTGGTAGTGGTGAGCGCTAGTGTGGTGTAGTGGTAGAGTGGTAAGTAATGCGGTAGTGGTAGAGCGCTCGCTCTACCACTACCGCAAACGAGTGGTTCCGAGTTCAATCCCCACCACGTCCCTGGTAGTACCGCGCTCAACTTGTTTCTCCGCGCAGCCGCCTTGTTCGTCAAGGTTTGTGTTTTGGAGTTATAGAGTTGAGAGAGGGTTATAACTACAAATAAGTAGCCTCCTCGTCTGTAGTGGCCTTCTTGGCCTTGAGGAGGTGAATTAAAAAAAAAAAAAAAATGTAGCTTATCTCTAAGTTCTGCCAAATTTCATTTTTAATCTGAATTTATTGAATAAAACTAAAACACAAAACTGTCATTGCATCTGTTCTGTTTTTTAATTTGTTCGGCTTAATACTTACTAATAATTGCGTATTTCTAGTGTTTCTCATGTAAACAAACAAATGCATAGTATGCATGTCGCAAATATGCATTTTTTTTATAAGCATATGATGTTTATGTTTTATATAAATACCACCAGCTTAGATTAAACACAATATTTTGCAACAAGAAGAGATTATGTAAAAAAAAATTATGTTAAGATTATATATATAATTATTAAAAAAAGATTATGTTAAGATTATATATATAATCTTAACATAATCTTTTAAGTAGATCTTTTTTTGTGATATATATATATATATATATATATATATATATATATATATATATATATATATATATATATATATATATATATATACATATATATATATATATATATATATATATATATATATATATATATATATATTTATATATATATATATATATATATATATATATATATATATATATTTATATATATATATATATATATATTTATATATATATATATATATATATATATATATATATATATATATATATATATATATATATATATATATATATATATATATATATATATATTTATATATATATATATATATATATATATATCTATATATATATATATATATATATATATATATATATATATATATATATATATATATATATATATATATATATATATATATATATATATATATATATTAAGATGATAATAAAAATAATGTATCCAAACATAAAGAAATTTGTTTTGCAATGACTTCCCAATGCAGTGTTTTTTTTCAAAAAAACATGTTTAAAATGTAAGACTAAGATTGTTTAGTCTTACTCTTTAAACATGTTTAAAGAGTAAGACTAAATATTATGCTAATTTTTTTAACACATTAATTTTTACAAAATCTACTCTCACCTACCTAATTGCAGAGGAGGGATGAATAGCTAGAGGAAGTAGATTCAATGATAAAAACTTATTGATTGGGTTGTTGGGATATGTGGAGATACATTTAAAGTTAGCAAGATTGGGGGGAATGGTCATTAAATTGGGGTGGGGTGGAAGGATTAAATTGGGGTGGGGTGGAAGGATTAAATTAGGGTGGGGTGGAAGGATTAAATTGGGGTGGGGCGAGTTGTAACTACTGTGTTTACGGTAAACACAGTAACACAATAATAACACTACCATGTTATTACTGTGTTACTGTGTTTACCGTGTTATTACTGTGTTACTGTGTTTACTTGAGTTTGCAGTTACCGCCTGGTACCTGTTATTACTGTGTTACTGTGTTACTGCCTGGTACCTGTTATTACTAACTTTTTATTATAGAACATATAAAGTCCCCAAACAGAAGAGATTTTGAAAAGTTTTTTGACCAATAATTTTTTAATTCGCATTAATCTAATTATGTAGTTGGCGTTTTGACATTTTTTGAGCTATCTTTAAAGAAATAAAGTCCTGGAACTTTTTTATATTTCAAAAGTCCTGGAATTTATAATATATTTTTTATTGTAAGACCTAGAATAGTCCTGGAAAAAATGATGTAAATGTCATGGAAAATTACCAAAGTTTTCATGGAAAATCCTGGGTTTTAAATTTACTCTTTTAACTATTTTCTGTATGTTTGAATGTTTTAATTTAGTCAAAACAGCACTGGTCATAATTTGAAACTAATAATTTAGAACTACTCCAGCAGTTATCTTTTGGCAGTGGTTGAATCAATCATTTAACGCAATTGTAAACTACACAAACAGAAGTGGGGATGCACCAATTTCCACAAGGTACATAAGATTTTTTCTATTGATTTTTTAAAGTACATTATATAGCTTTGTTTTTTAATGTGAGACTGTTAATATTTCTATATTTTTGTTATTTTCTTTTTATTAAATAAAATTTTTTCTAATTATTTTTATAATTTTATAGATTTAATGTTAGATGTGTAGAATGTGTTTTATTATTTAGTATGCTTATGCAAGCCTATGTTTCGGCCACTGGTGCAGCACTAGGTGTAGGACTTGGTCTTAAGATGATGGTTAAGGTATATAAAATATACAGAATTTTTTTTTTCAGTTTGATTTTTGAAATATTTTGCTCAAGGCAACATCAGACTGTTAAGAAATTGGCTAATAATTTCAAAAAAGTATTAAGTATAAAAGGAAAATATTTTAGCTGTAAAAATACCTGATCAGGGGTCAATTTGTTATCACTTAAGTTATTTTTCTCATTTGCTTTCTGGTAAAACAAGTTATTTGATTTTTATATTTACAACATTTTTTACTTCAGTTTTAGAATATAAATGTGTAATCTGTATTTCTGATATTTTATTTCATTGAGCTCAGTTTTGGTAGTCAAGCAAAAAAACATTGAGTTATTTACTTTATATTTGTGTTATTTATCTCACTTTGATCAAAAAATACATTCTTGTTTGTTCTTTTAACTGTTTCATAAATTTAGTAGTAGACATATTTAGTAAATCTGTACCAATAATTTATTTAATTTTGAAAATTCCAATCACCTAATAAATCTAAAAATCTAATATAATCTAATCATTAACAAATATTTCTAGAATTAGTTAAATGCTTACCAATGACTTAATCCAACCTGTAATTAACATGGTTTTAATTTAGCTTTTATTTCAGCCTGTAACTAACATGGCTTTAATTTAGCTTGTACCTTCTGGACAAAAAAAATGAGACCAAGTTTTTTAAGTTTAATTTTTAAAATAATAAATGAATAATAAAATTGTTCAATAGAAAATAAAGAGTAAAGCCTTATTTTTAAAATAATATATTGATCAATATCCGGTCATGTGTTCTTCTATGTATTTTTGAACACAACGGTTCATACTGTCAATTAATGACTTCAAATAATCCAAAGAAAGTCTGTTTCAAACTACTTGAATTGCAACCTCTAATCATCTAAATTTTTTGTTTTTTTCTTTTCCACTGCTTTTTTCATTAACCCACACACATTTTCAATGGGGTTTAGATCCGGTGAATTAGTGGGCCAGGAAGAAACTTTCCATTTATGTTCTGTAAACCATTCAGAAACTGATTTTGAAGTGTGGCACGTTGCTCCATCTTGTTGAAATGTAAAACTCCTTGGGAAAAGATTTTTTAGAGTTGGCTCAGCTTCAGAAAGTATTTCTTTGTATTTTTCACTATTTACAGTGTCCTTGATTATAAGCAATGATGTTTTACCTTTGGAACTAATCGCCCCCCAAACCATGAGACTCTCTTTGAACTTTGGTTTGCCAATTCTTGGTCGTTTCTTTGCCTATCGACCTTCTTGAGTTCAAAATAACTCGAAGTGACTCTCATCACTAAATACCCATTGATTCCATCTTGTTCTTAGGTGTTCTTTACACCATTTTACCCTATTTTCTTGTTGAACAGGAGTCAATAGGGGTTGATTTTTGGGAACGAAACTGAAGTACCCACTTTGGTTAAGATAATGAGTAATTGTTCTGGGAACAATCTTAGGACTGCCTTTTTTAATTAATTCAGTTTGAATATCTCTGGCGGATCGTGTGTCAACTTTTCGAGCTAATTGAATCAATCGTTGTCGGTCCTTTAAATTAAGTTTTCTTGGTCTACCACTTCCTTTCTTTCGCTCCAAGCTCATTGTTTCCCTCATTTTCTTTAAATATCTTGCAACTGTTGCCTTAGGTATCCCAGTTAATTTCATCAAAGACTTTAGGTCTTTATGACCTGCTTTAAAAAGATAGCCAAGTGTCAACGGTAAATCAGAAATAATAATGAATACATAGAATTTTTGATGAATATATATGCACCTGATAAATCAAACAATGGGTTTCATGAAATACAAAAAAAATCATTGTATGACTTGCCAAAAATTGTAAAAATATGAACAAAAGTTTAGCTTATGCGGTCTCATTTTTTTGTCCGGAAGGTAATTAACATGATTTTAATTTAGCTTGTAATTAACATGATTTTAATTTAGCTTATATCCAGCCTGTAAAATTAAAATGGTTTTAATTTAGCTTTTTGGCAATTTTAAATAACATCAATTTTAATTTTGGAGTTCTAAAACATTGATTGCACTTCAGATTTTTTTTCCATTTAACAAATATTATTTTTATTGAAAACTAGTTATTTTAATAATATTAAAATAAGCAAAAATAAAATGAAAGCAAAAATAAAAAATCCACAGGTGAAAAAATAGTTGTCTGTTTTTAGAGATTTCCACCAATTGTAGGTCGTTTTGTACCATTTGCTGCTGTTGCTGCTGCAAATTGCGTAAACATTCCATTAATGAGGCAAAGGTATTAAATTATTTGTTTATAATAATACTTGAAATTTTTTTAGAATTTTAATATATTCTTTAGAGTTAAATTTAATTAAATTCAACTTTAAAGAATATATTAAAATTTAAAAATGTATTAATACATTTAATTTCAAATGTATTAATACATTTAATTTAGAGAATTAATGCATGGTATCCCTGTGTTTGATGAAAACGGAAACCGGTTAGGAGAGTCTAAGGTTTGTTGTGTATGGTTTTTATCTAAAATTGTTTGTTACTAAAGATTTTTTAATTTTAGTTTTCCTCATTTTCAGATTGCTGCACAAAATGCTGTACAAATGACAGTTGTTTCCAGGATTATTATGGCATTACCTGGAATGAGTAAGTTTTTTTTGTTTTAAATTGTTATTTTATATTAAGTTAAGTTACATGAAGCCGCAAGTTTGCTAAACCCATCATCACCTGACTGTACTTATCTGATACATACAGTCAGGTGATGATGGATTTAACAAACTTGTGGCTTCAGTTAATAACTATGATTGTTGATGATTCTCCAGCTTAAATTTTCTAACTGATATTCTTTCGATAACATTATCTAACAAAACATTTTATTTAAAAACTTTGGCATATAAAATTCGCTGAATGGTCACACACGAGCAGTGAACGCCTGAGGGAAGAAATGAAGTACATTAGAATAAAGGAGAATTATTTATTAGACAAAGCATATTTTGACAGTTGTCAAGACAAAAATAAAGATTAATAGAGGAATATTTAAAAATAAACAAGACAAGCTATACAACCAAAACAGTACTCAACCATAATAACAATAAAAAAAATAAAAACAAATAATTATTATATATATATATATATATATATGGATCTTCTTGACTCAATGCGTGGGTATTGCTTGTGTCTCTATTTTTATGACTGGGCAACTCATTCTATTATCTCCTAATGAGGGTACAGCTCTAAAACTCAGTTTTATGGTTCTGAGGCCGGCTGGTAGTCAGGTTTCCTGAACTCTGTGGTAGCTCTCAGAGAGGCTGATTCCATCAACAGCCGAAAAATATCAGAGTACTAACAGTGCCATGTTGCGCATGGATGGTGTCCCTGTTTGTACTTTTGGTGTGCATTGCAGAGGCCACATTTGGAGCCCTTTGTTACGGCTTAGGGTTTATTAATAGTAATGAGGCTATTGCTTAGTTGTTAAATAGTGTACTGAGTACTATCTATACTTGAGTCAAGTTCTTTATAAATTTAAAATGACTAAAGTACCTAAAACTAAAAAACACAAAAAACCATTGTCATCACCAAGTTCTCTAAACCTATCATTTACTAATATTCGTGGTCTTCGAAGTAACTTTTCTTCTGTTGAGTCTTATCTCTTGCAAAGTTCACCAGACCTACTTGCTCTTTGTGAGACTAATTTGAGTTCGGCTGTCCCATCTTGTGATCTTAGTGTTGATGGTTATCTTCCTTTAATTCGTAAAGACTCCAATAATCACATGCTTGGCCTGGGTATCTACATTCGTAAGGACTCACCCATTTGTCGTGAAACTAGGTTTGAATCTACAGACTATTCATTTATGTGCTTTCGTTTAGCACAACTTCACTCTATCGCCTTTCTCTTTGTTCTATATCGCTCTCCTTCATCCCAAGATTGCACTATTCTTGATGTTATTTCTGATCAAATTGACCAAGCCCTCTCTCTTTATCCATCGGCCAATATCGTCGTTGTTGGTGACTTTAATGCCCATCACACCGATTGGCTTGGCTCTAGTGTCAGTGACTCTGCTGGCATTAAGGCCCTCAACTTTTGCTTTTCTCAATCTCTAACTCAAATAGTCAACTTTCCAACTCGTTTTCCAGACAACCCTAATCATTTACCTTCTCTACTCGACTTATGTCTTGTTTTGGATCCTAGTCAGTGCTCAATTTCTCCACATTCACCCTTAGGTACTTCTGATCATGGTTTGATCTCTCTAAAACTATTATCAAATTCTTCTACTTCATCAGAATCCCCCTATCATCGTACCACATACAACTACCTTAAAGCTGACTGGGACTCTTTCCGTGATTTTCTTCGTGATGGCCCTTGGGTAGAAATCTTTCGTCTTCCTGCTGACAAATGTGCTTCTTACATAACTTCGTGGATTCAGGCTGGCATGGAATCTTTTATTCCCTCTCGACGATTCCAGGTCAAGCCTCACTCTTCTCCTTGGTTTTCCTCACATTGCGCTGCAGCAATTTCTAATCGAAACCGTTACTTCCATATCTATCAGCAAAACAATTCTCCAGAAAACAGACATCTGTTCACTATCGCCAGAAACCATTGTAAAAAGGTTTTGTCTGACGCCAAAGCTCGCTATTCCCAGGTCATTAAATCTCGTATCTCATCACAAAAATTAGGCTCTCGAGACTTCTGGAGAATCTTTAACAGTATCAATAATAAGGGCAAATCTGTTATTCCTTCTCTCTTGTATGGTTCAGACTTTGTCACCTCACCTAAAGACAAAGCTGAATTGTTTGCTAAGAACTTTTCATCAATATCATCTCTTGATTCCACTAGTTGCGTTTTACCTGACATAGCCGTCAAACAGGTTGATCCCTTGCTTGACATTCGCATCACTTCAGCTTCTGTATCTAAAGTAATTTCCTGCTTAGACTCTTCAACAGCTTGTGGTCCTGACAACATTCCTGTTGTAGTCTTGCAGAGGTGTTCTCCGGAGCTTTCATCCATAGTTTCTAAACTATTTAACAAGTGCTTATCAGAGTCTTGTTTTCCATCATGCTGGAAAGCAGCATCTGTTATCCCTATTTTCAAAAATTCCGGAGAGCGATCTGATTCATCTAACTACCGTCCCATTAGTCTTCTTCCTGTCATAAGCAAGGTTTTTGAATCTTTAATCAACAAACACTTAATCTCTCATCTTGAATCAAATAACTTACTTTCTGATCATCAATATGGATTTTGGTCTTCTCGTTCTACAGCTGATGTGCTAACAGTAATAACCGATAGGTTTTACCGTGCATTAGATAGAGGTGGAGAGGTTAAGGCTATCGCACTTGACATTTCTAAAGCTTTTGATAAAGTTTGGCATGCTGGTCTTCTCCATAAGCTTTCTTCTTATGGTGTAGCTGGTAACGTCTTTAAGATTATTGAGTCCTTTCTTTCCAATCGTAGTATAAAAGTTGTCCTCGATGGACAACACTCTTCTTCACATCCTGTAACTTCAGGGGTTCCTCAAGGTTCAATCCTTGGCCCTATACTCTTTTTAATTTACATTAACGATCTTCCAGATATTCTCACATCTAAGGTGGCATTATTCGCTGACGACACTACCATTTACTCTTGTCATGATAAGAAGCCTACACTCTCTGATTGCTTGGAGGGGGTATCTGAGCTTGAAAAGGATCTCACTTCTGCTACAGCATGGGGCTCACAGTGGCTGGTGAACTTTAATTCAGATAAAACTCAATTTTATTCGGCCAATCGTTATCGTAATAATTTAGATCTTCCTATATTTATGAATGGTAATGTACTAGATGAGTCATCTACCATTCATCTTCTAGGATTAACTCTTACTTCTGATCTTTCTTTTAAACCGTATATCAAATCCATTGCAAAATTAGCATCTGCTAAGGTTGCATTTCTTTATCGAGCTCGACACTTTCTTACTCCAGATTCTATTCTCTATCTCTATAAATCTCAAATCCGTCCCTGTATGGAATACTGTTGCCACATCTGGGGCGGATCTTCTAATGATGCTCTTTCTCTTTTAGACAAGGTGCAAAAACGAATTGTAAACATAGTTGGACCTGCTCTGGCAGCCAATCTCCAACCTTTGTCACATCGTCGTAATGTTGCTTCTCTTTCTCTTTTCTACAAATACTATAATGGGCACTGCTCTAAAGAGCTAGCGTCCCTTGTGCCATCTACTAAAATTCATTCTCGTGTTACTCGCCATTCAATTAAGTCTCATCCTTTTTCTGTGACTGTTCCTAAGTGCTTCAAAAACTCTTATTCTTCTAGTTTTTTTCCTCGAACATCAGTTCTTTGGAATTCGCTTCCTTCATCTTGCTTTCCTGATTCATATAATTTGCAATCTTTTAAGTCATCAGTCAATCGTTATCTTGCTCTACAGATTTAGTCTTTTCTCTTCCAGTAACTTCCAACTCTTATAGTGGTTGCTTGCAGCCTTGTTGGAAGTGAAGATGTTAAAAAAAAAAAAAAAAAAAAAAAATATATATATATATATATATATATATATATATATATATATATATATATATATATATAAATAAAACAAATAAAATAAAAAAATTAAAAAAATATAAAAAAATAAAAAAAATTGTTTTATAAATACCAATATGAACTAAAATATACAAGAAATACATAACCAGTCAAAAATTTGTAAAACAAAAAACAATTCAACAAATTAAAAATATGCTAACAACAACGAAAGGACTAATAATGGAAAAAAAAACATTAATGCTAATGTGTAAACATAATTAGTGTAGTGATAAGTAATAAACATTTCCTCAGAGTCGCGTCTATTATTACCGGCGTTTCGATGAGGATCATCATTTATAACTAGTTTATCCCGTCAGACAAACGTCATCGCCACTTATGCTTTACCCCGCGACTTACGCCTATTCCATAATGCAGTAAAAAAGGACTCACTACAAATAGCCAAAACCCAACCAACCCCAAATTTGTAAAGCACCAATATTTTTTTCGATGATATGATATAAAAAGTATAGATTTACTGAACAAACAAAAATAAAAATAACTAAATAAAACACTTACCGTACCACCAAAAGAAAACATGAAAACAAAATAAATTAAAATTCTAATAGAAACATAAAAAAATTAATCAATTTATTTTAAGAAATAAAACCAAATAGGTATTATTAGCATAAACAAGCCCAAGATAATCAGAAAGCAGTATACCTCATTAATTTTTTTTTTTTAATAAACAAAACAATACCCTTAAATAAACTCTAACGCTGTCATAGATACCTCATTCGAAATATGATAACCAATCAAAAGTGTAGGAAAATGAGTAACTCGCGAAAACCAAAATCATAACAATAATAGAATAATATATGATAGCGAAAAAGAACGTTGTACAAAAACTTTAAAAATGTAAGCGACATATATGTAAACATTAAATGAAGGATATAAAAATATTCTCTGAATAATAATAAAGATGAAAATTGTGCATGTGAAAATTAAAACAAAGCTGAGTAATGAATGCAAGATAATATAACATGAAAGTTTCTGTAAACAGTAATAATATAAAAATCAGGAGATAAGTAATATATTAATAAATACAGCAATAAGACTAACTAAATATTGTAATAAAACCAGATAATTT